GTATACGTATATATATATATATATATATATATATATATATATATATATATATATATATATATATATATATATATATATATATATATATATATATATATATATATAGTTGCTTACACAAACATAGTCAATGAGAATTCTTAGTGTTCAGTACTTGTTCTTGTGATAGTTGTGCATTTGTTACCCATAACTTACCGCTGCTGCCATCTTTATTTATTGTAAGCAAGTTATCTAGTTCACATAAATTAAAATACAGAGCATCAAGGCATCTAATGATGATTCAGATGTAAGTGCTGAGGGCCTGTGGTTATCTTTTAATTGCTAAAGTCAATGTTAACTATCTCACTTTGTGGAATGCTTATTTCCTGGATCATGTCTCAATCTTATCATTTTCTATCTTGCAGATGATTGATGATCAAGATTTAGGATTCTTCGCCAATTTTCTAGGCATCTTCATATTTATTTTGGTGATTGCTTATCATTATGTGATGGCAGATCCAAAGTATGAAGGAAACCAATGTTAAGATTGTGGTGTTTTAGAAGGATTCAGAACTTCTATCTATGGGTCTTATATCTAAACGACAGTTTTTCCGGTTTTACATAAAACTTGAGCCAGAAACTTGTAAGAATTTTGCGTCTGCTTCATAATGAGGTAACTCTTGGCCTTCGGTGCCCATTTTTATAAGTACTACATGAATATATTGCCTCTTTAGCAACAGCAACTAGAATTGATCATTTGCTTGCAAAAGTTTTGAAGAAGTAAAATCCTTGGCATTTGCTACTGCTGTCGGTCTTGTTTCTTTTTTTGAAAATGAAAATCTAGGTTAATTAAAAAAGGCATCCATACAGACATTGAGGAGGTGAATTACCCATCCTTTGAGATGTCAGAGTTACAGACTTCAACAAAATAAGCTAATTGGTGAGTGTCAGAGTTCATAGTTCTAGGTGCATGAGTCCATTTAGTGACTTTCACAGAATTAGCTAGAGACATAAAATCAGTGCAAAGGTTCCTCAAATGCCATGGGAAGTCCTTACCTTCAGATAACATGTTGATCATTTGGAAGGGGTCAGATTTCATCAAAGGTTGGTCCTATTCTCCTGGTGGCTTTTCAATAATCCTTGCCACAATTCCCAACACTCAGCATGTATGAGGATCATTGGACATTTGAGTTGAACAGCCCCTAAAAAATAATGTTTCCTTGATTGTCGAGTAAAATGTCGCCAACTCCTACATCGACAGCATTGTTAATAAAGGATCCATCACAGAAAAGAGTATATGAGGATGTATCAGGGTAATTAGTTGGCAGAGATGGGAAACAGGTCTCCCTTCTAGCACTATCAGGGTGACTGGGCTAGACATTACTCTTATTGATCATAGCGTTATCAGGGTAAGATAGTAATGAATAGTGCCTTAGCAATCAATCTTCATAACTATCTTGGTTAGATCGATTTCAGGTCTGTCCAACTCATGTTGAATGAGTTTCTTAATGTCTTTGGGTACCAAATGGCACAAATACCGTATAATAGATTTGATGGTTATCGACATTTGGATTCGAAATCCGTATTGTTGTAATCAGAGGTCACGGTATCTTCTGACCAGGTGTCTGGAGTGTAGACTTTCTATCCAGGTTTTTTGTCACTTCAAAAGTTTATAATTTGCTGCTGTTCATATTTTTTTTGTTCACCTGCAATTGTACAAAGGTTTACCATTATCTACTATAAGAATGCAGGCTTAAATAGGGAATTAAGATTGCTGGTCTGTAGTCTTTGTTAAAATGCCCCTTCTAAAGTGGTTTGAAACATTTGCATTCGAGGAAAATTTTAGTTCATTCTTTCAAGCATACCTGCAAACCACATCACATCCAGTCACTGTTGTAACATGCCACTTCCAAGCCAACACAAAGAGCACCTTCACGTCCAGCCACAATCAATATGACAGTGTGACATTGCTTTGTGCTAGACTCGCAACAAGCTAACCTTCCATAGCTTGCCACATTGCGATGTCGCACCTAAGAACACATAAGTTACTATTGTGATAGAAATAAGCATGAAGGAGATGTAGATGAGCCACTACATGCCTCACACGTGTGCAATACAGTGTGACGATGGAGGGCCTTAAGTTGACCGCAAGCTCTCATCCTCGAGCCCCTTACCTAATCCACTACGTAGCATCTAATGTCAAACGACAGGCAAAGCATGCGACAGTGAGAGAGAGAGAGAGAGATCGGCAGTTGACATTGATGGTGTAGTAGGTTGATGCCATAGAATAATTGTGGTGGTGATAGAGGGGGGGAGAGAAGGGGAATGGTTAAAGGTCATTGGAGTCCGTGGGGTTGCACTCCAGGCACTGCGCATGAGAGAGCATGCATTCCCTCTTTTACTTTTCAAAGCTCTTTTTGGAGTTTATTACAGAAGAAGGGGGGGGGAGGGGGGGCAGTGCATGCACCACTTCCTTTAGCTTTCTCTGTGCTCTCTGTGCTGGAGAATCCACACATTAAATGGCTCCATGCTTTCTCAAAGGCCCCTGTGGCCCCCCCTCCCTCCTCCCCTCCCTTCCCATCAAGTGTAGCTGTCCTTTGTTTGCGTGCTAATTGTAGGCCCCCTCCCGTCTCACTCCATTATGAGTCTTCCACAACAGAGAGAAAAAGGATGGCCACAAAGGTCTCAGCATGCCTGGTTTTCTGCCTTGTGTTGCTGCAAACTTTACTTCAGTAACCTAACTGAGTCAACTACGACACTTTTGCATTCTATTTATAGTTCTGCTTTTTTGTTCAATTTTACTAGGTTTATGTGCACAAAGATCAACAAGCAAGCAGATAAATAAATCACACTAGTGTACACTAGTAGTGATTCATACCATGGGACACAGTTTGACAATTCTTGAAAATGCTAGCTAAAGTTATGGATGACTATTTCATAACAAGCAAACCATGGTTGAGTCCTCGATTACTTAGCTTCAAGTATGATGATAATAAATGAATGAATCCTCCAGCTGAAGTGCTCCAGGGGAGTGTCAAAGCAGTGAAGGCCTCAGTTCATTCCTTAGAAGCAGTATGAAGTGGGGAACTATTAAGTCAGACTTGAGTATCAAGTTTTTTTGTGGACAAGAATGAAGTCTAAAAGGCAACATGTTGCGACCAATACTGGGGGGATGAGAGTTTTGTGAGTGGAGTTGACTATGTAGGAGGAGTGTTTGGGCACCCAAATTGCAAATCTTTGATGAAAACAATACAAATCCCTGGGCATTTCAAAAGAGTTCAAAAATGAGACAGATGATGAGCAGCCCTTCGCAATTGGCCTATGAATCTCTGAAGCAGGAACAAATCGAAGGCACAGCTAGCTTGATGATGGTAATCATCCACAAATGGTAGTTCAGTGTATCAACCCGCACAATGATCATCGATCTCCTGCATGACACGTCTCCATAAGTAAATCGACCTTTTGCACACTCCCTGCCTCGATGTGCATAGTCGCAAGCTGCGTGTGCTACTTCAAAAAATGTAGACCTCAAGGGAGGGGGCCATCTTGATTCGCCATTTCCTTTGTTCCCTCCACTCTAAACAAAGGAAAGGTTGTAGCATGACACTAAAAAAAAAACACTTGAAAATTCATAGTACTAATCCTGGGGAAGCTTAAACAAACCCAAAGCAAATCTCTCTCTCAGAGGCCACAAGATTCGGCAGGTCTTGGCATCATAGCATGCGCTCTTTAACTAATTTCTCGTATATCCTGCGTTGTATTCATCTGTTTGTATATTCCAAAGTTTGCAAATCCCCAGAAATCTTCATTGCAGCAGCAAAGCTTTATAGATTAGTGGAAGAGTAGATGCAACTGGGAAAGAAGTGCCTCTTCTTTACGATTAGTGCCTCACCTTAAAAGAGGTTTCATGACTACTATTGTGGTCTGTCTCACAGAAACAAGCTAATGTGGTTTATTTCTGCGACTGTTGCAAATTATGCTTGATAAAGGTAACTCAGCTCCGTGTTTTTGTAGCTCTTACACTGCAGCACTACCTTACAAACTTTACATGGAATTCAATTTTTCCTTAAGAGAGAAAAAGAAAACAGAGTCTCTTGAAGGGATCTTCCTTTTTATTGAATCTGCATATACCAGCCAAAGGTTCAAAGCACTTAGAACAGAAGGTTCAAAAAAAAAATTCAAGCTTGTGGTCTACCCATCTTTTCTTGCCCAAAAAATTGCTTACCGGAGAAGGAATCTGAGATAACCATTTAAGTGCAGGAAGAATCTGATACCTTACTATAAAGTCCACTAAGATCACTGTACTCCTCCACTTTAACCTAAAAGAGACTACTTTACCTTACCAACTGATTCCAGCTTCTGTCAAATTGCATATCACCTCGTCGATCAGTGAAGCAGATGAAATTGATGTCACTTATCAAGAGAAAGGCTTGGTTGTTGATCTGTGATCTGCATATTGATTTCTCGCAGTGAATTCCGACTTCACGACTTGAGCTCCATCCATCTTTGCGCGTGAACGTGTTTTAATGCCCCGTTGCCATTCTCGGATGCACCACTATTCCTGTATTCCTTCCTTCTTCTCCCCCTTAAGCACCGTCGAAACCATCAACCACTAGTGAGAGATTTCGAGGGTAAAAGATACGAAATCGGATTTTACCGCACCGCACACGTGCAGCCATTTTCGTTCTGAAGGGCAACTCTTTGCTGCAATTTTACGAAACTTCATCGAAGAAAGATTATGAAATGAAATAAAAGTGTAGGGGTATTTTAGTCCTGTTTGCCCAATAAAGCGCCACGCTCTCCCCCCTACCGCCTTAGGGAAAAGACGAGTTCTGTCCCTCTCGTGATCGTTTCTCGCGCTCGAGCTGAGCTCCCTATCCGCGAGCGGGATTCCGTCTTTCTGGTGACTTGGGTCGACTCGGAGAGAAGCGAACAAAGGGTTTCCCCGAGAAATTGCCTTTTTTGTTGAGTGCTTCCGGTGTAAGCGATGGATGTAGTCTGGAGCTTTTCTGCTTTCTTGTTCTCGAACCAATTGTTATCTGATCGATGGTTTTAGAGTCTACAGGTTTGTTAAGATCTGATTGATTTCGTGCTTAAAATCCAGTCTTTGTCCTCTTTTTTTTTTCTCTCGTTATTATCTGTTTTGTTGCTTTTTTATTGGTCGATTTCGAAGCTCATTGATTTCTCCCTGGGCTGTCGCCCCTTTGTTCACATCGATTTGTACTTGCTTTTTGTACAGACTTGTGCTTTGATTCCTACTGCTAAGAGTAAGGATTTGTTAGGATCCTCATGAATTCGTTCCCAAAACCAGTCTTTCGTTTGACGCGCTTTTCTCGTTAATATCCAGAAGAATACATTTCCCAACGTCTGATCTCTCTCGTGCAACTGTTCTTTTTCTTTCAACACAGGTTTTGATGTCCTTTAACGCGAATTCAAAACCAAAATCTTTCTTTTTTGGGTGCTCTACTTGGGATTTTGTAAGACGTTGAACTGCAAACTGTTGTCCTCCAGTAATTCTGGCATATGATTAGGCTTTTGAGGTGGATTTAATGTTGCAGGGATCTCAAACCGTCAGAGGAAGCGGGAGTTTCTTTTTGTGGTTAAAGATTTCGAACAGTATGCGGTGGCTGAGTTTCTCGGTTGATGTTTATCGGAAAGTTATTTCCTTGAACTTGTATTGTAGGGTTATTCTGTAACGCATTACCTTTCCCTCTGGTTCTCTTCATCGACTGCCCTCCTCTCTTTTCTCCAATCTTGTCCTCGAAACCCCTCTTTCCCTCAGAGCCAGCGAAACCGTGAAGATTGCAATTTGGCTGGCATTTCTCCTACGTCTGGCCTCCTAGAATAATCTTATTGGAAATTGGATTTCATTTGGGTTCTGGGTGGACTGGTCCTGTTCCCGACGAAGAACAGTAGTAATGGTGTGCCAAGCAGCAACACGAACAACATTCCGAGCTTTGAAACACGAGAATGGGATTGCCGGTAGTACCACCATAATCGTTAGGGTCCTTGCTTGCTTCCAACCATTGCAAGATTGCCAGGTGAAAACTAGAAACAAAATTTTCAATACGTTGCTTTAAGACAAAACTCGTATATATAACCTAATGTATTGATTTTGTACAGGCTGAATACTTCCGCCACCTCCTGAAACCGGTCACGTAAATTAGCTTCCTGTTAACAGTTCTCTTCAATAAAGCTGGGATTTCTTATTTTTCTTCCTTTTTCTGGTAAACCCTGTTGTGGAGATATTAATTGGCATCTACTACTTGCCTAAGGTAAAGCGTATATGTTAATTAGAATCTGAACTGTTATGCACGTCTGATTGACTTGTGTATCTATTTATACCACTTAAAACTTGCTTTCAGGTGATTAATTTAAACTTTGTTTTGATGGGGAAGGATATTACTCCTCATTTTGATTCACAGCATCCATCTTGGCGATTTAGTCATATGAACTCTGCTAGTAATATCCAACGGTTTGATATCGGGCCTCAGAACGACAATTCAATGTTGCTTCCTGCCTGTGTTAATCCCTATGGTTGTGTATTCTCAGTGAATGCTGCAAAACAATTCCCTGGTGTCTGCACAAACAAATCCCTTCAAAAGATATCATCTTTGATTCCTCCTTTGACCCCATCTCAAAGGCCTCCTGAATTTGATGTGTTGGAGAAGAGGTACTTGGCCTTTGATCAGTTAAGGGATGGAAGGAGCTACATCTTTAGCTCATCAAGCATCCCTTATCCATTCTTTAATTCCGTGGACCTAGGTTTCGGTCTGCAAGGCAGCACAGACACCAATGTTTCCAATGGGCATGGGGCGGAAGAGATGCATGAAGACACAGAGGAAATCAATGCACTGTTGTACTCGGATTCTGATGAGGATCATGATGATGAAGAGGCCAGCACTGGACACTCTCCTGTTGGGGTGACAGGGAGGAGTTTATCTGAGGTAGCTAGCTCTATGCTTCCGGCAAAGAGGAGGAGAGTTAACGCGGATGAATTCGATGCATCACTTGTAGATACTGCAAGCTCGCAAGTTCTCCACTGCCCTGATGTTCCTACAGATCACAGGAACAAAGGGGATGGTATACACTCTGAGTCAAGCTGTGTGAAAGGAGGGGATCACAATCAGAACGGAGATGATGTGCGCATCAAAAGAGCAAGAATTCAGGAAACAGTTAGCATATTGAGAAGGATTATTCCTGGTGGAAATGGGAAGGATACAGCCACTGTCCTTGACGTGGCTATCAGCTATCTCAAGTCGCTTAAGCTGAAGGCCAAAACTTTGAATGCTTCTCCTTAGCAGCTACTCCAGCAACATCTATATATATATATAAATATAAATATATATATATATATATATATATATATATATATATATATATATATATATATATATATATATATAAACCCCCTTCTTCTAAGTGTCATGGTCACAAAACAAAGGAAGAGGCCAGTGGGTTCTCTCCACACAGCTCCAATGATTGAAGGTGTGAATCGGTACTCTAAAGTCACAGCTTTGGTAGAGTTTTGGCCTTTAATGGTGGGGGAAGGAGGATATGATGGTCCAATAAAGCATGGCTATTCCTTTGGTATTTATGAGTTTGTATGACGATTCCAAATTGATGCAAAGAGGGTCCAAGAGTAGCTTCTTTTGACTGAAAGGGAATGATGGGAATTCTTAGGAGTGCGCGTGTGTGATGAATCTATAAAGGAAGGCTTGCACACGCCTGTTATGTTGAGTGGTGATTGCCACTTTATCTGTCGTTGTTGGTTTCTTTAGACAATGGCAGTGCAAAGAAGAAAGGAAATGTAACCTGGCTATTATGTATATAACTTTAATGATTTCCTGGAGTATTGTGGAGGTTAAATTGCTTTTGTTGACATGGGTGAGCAGGTTACTTCATTATTCGGCTTGTATGGGGCCATGCTGAAATATTTTGGAAGGAAGGGCATTTGGTTGCATGATGAATGGATGAGGTTGTGGTCCATTGATTGGTTTCTTTCTTCACAAGTGGGAGTCACTGTCGTCAGGAAGCTCTCCGTTCAGCTTTGTGTCGATTGCTATGCGGCAAGTTTCTGGGTGCTTGTTCACATCGACTTTGCGAAACTGTAATCTGTTCTACAACTCTCGTTGCTGCTGCTGCTGCTTTGCCTTTGCTTTCAGTCTTTTCCCTTGTTGATATCGATGCCATTGTTTGTGGTCATCATATTTGGCTTCAAGGATGTTAGTGTAGGCATCAGTTTGTGCTGTTAGGTTGGCCTGCCATGGATGTAATAAATGCTGTGGCCTTTAATTGTATCGAACATGTTATTATGATATATTGGAATTTTGCCTTGTGATTTTTATCTTGTGATTGGACATTACATATGTTGTTACTGCCAGCTGCTATTTTAGAGTTGAGCATGTCATGAAAAATATTTCATGCTGTCAAGGTTTGCACTCTTCTTGATTAGGAAATTGTATGATTGCTAAGGAGCAGTCCATTTTCTTGTCCATGTTTTTGTGATGATAATATCACAACTCTCGGAAACAGAAGAATAAAGGAAAGAAATAAAGAAAGATGAAACAAAAGTAGAATAAGAGCTGCCAAATCCACCAGTCTCCGGGAAACCTCGAGGCACAAGTTGATCAAAGAACGAACAGTATCATCAAAACGACTTCAGCTAGTGGGAAACACAAGAAGGGCTGATTCACACTTTTGTGTGATCTCTTCTCCTACAGAGAAATCAATGTTTCCTCAACCTAAATCGTGAGAATTCCTGGCACAGTGAGAAAACTACCTCGCTAAAAGATGGAAATGGGTAGATAAGATGGATTAGATGGGGGCTGCACTTAGAAATTTGGGGAGGAGGTCAGCGATATGACTAGACTTTGACATCCAATCGGAACTCTCTCTCTCTCTCTCTCTCTCTCTGAAAGATTGTAAATTATCTCTCTGAAATGAGTAGATATGATGGATGGCTCAGATGTGCGATGCACTCCGAAATTTGAGAAGATGGTCAATCAGTGGTAAGACGAGAATTGAAATCCTTGCAGAAGTCGATACACGAAAATTTCAATCAATCGAGATCCAACACAGTGTAAATCCAATTGCCACAATTAGCGTGAGGATGATGCAACTCCACCAAGTCACTCAAATAAGGAGGAGGAGGCCTCTTTCAAACATGCATTCACTTCTGAACCCTCTTGGGATGTTTAGTGTGAGTGCAATAGTGATCTGAATAATTTTGTTAAAAGGACAACCTTTTGGTCTTCATAAATGAACTGTGTGTATAGTATCTGCTCATGTAATTCGATCATCAGTTATGAATTCTTTCTTGTTTCTGGCTTTAGAATTAGTGAAATCTTAAACAAGTACACATTAAAGGATGACTAGTGTGCAGCCAAATGTATATGATGTAAAGTGGTATATCTTTGCAGTTTTTGATGTGAGGCATGACATGAGGGCTTTATAATTTTTGATGTAAAGTGGTATATCTTTGCAGCCAAAGGATGACTAGCCAGTTTTATAGTTTTCTTGACTCAAAGCCCCTTCGCCATACAAGATTATTGCATTTCGATGACACTATCTACAAAGAAAATTTAGACTTCAACTATACTGATTTTGAATAAAGTTAATATTGCGTTTGGCATCCAATTCTAGAATGGTTAATCATGTTCAAAACCTAGAGTTATTTAGGTAACTTCCTGTTGGGCTGACAGTCCATATTCAGCTTAAGGTGGGCTTTATCAGCCCACAGGTAGAGAAGGAAAAGGAAGAAAACAAGGACAACATAAAGAGACTGTTCTTAATCATCTAACAATGATTTCATCTCAGGTTAGATCAGATCTATAGTAAATTCCTACTGTGATTACTTGGAGAGAATTAGGGAGAATTTAGATATTGTGCACAGTGATATTATCCTTGTATCTCAATTATTCTCTTGTGATTGTTGTTAGGATTTTGGGCAAGAGATTTAGATTTGTATATTCATTATTATTATAGTTGATTATCTCTAGTTTGTCCCGTAGTTTTTACCCTTCACATTGAAGGATTTTTCATGTATATTTTAGTGTTCTATTTGATTGTGGTTCCATTTAATTCCACTGTGTGTTATGACCCGCTAGTATTTATTCATATAAAAAAGTTTATTTCTCTTTATATCCCATCACTTTCAACTTAAACTATCGAGAAAAAAAAAATATAAAAGAAATATTAGAAAATTTTTCAATTTTTATAACCTTAAAATGAGGATTTTACTCCATTTCAAAGCTGAAATTTGTGTGAAAATTATTTTTTATTTTTGGCAAATCGAGGCTCCATTTGTGGTTGTTTTAATTAAAGACCCATTCAATACACCGATATAATTTTTTCCAATGACATGCGATAAATAAAAAAAAATTTACAACTTCATCTACACTTGTTTGGAAAGAAAAATGAGGTTATACTGTGTTTGGCTTCCAATTCAAAATGGATACTTGTGTGACTCCACTTTAAATAAAGGAATCACCCTAAATCAATTAAAACCCTCGGGAATCAATTAAGAAGGAAATATTGGCCACTTTTACTATTTTTACACCTGTAAAATGACATTTTACATTGATTTTTGGCTATGAAAGGCTGAAATTATGCCAAAATTCAATTTTTTTTAATCTATTTTTTCACTGTGATGAATTAATGTTTTCAATCGACGCTTGGATGTAAGAAAATTTTTTTGATTACAATTACACTAATTTTGAATAAGATTATACTATTCTTAATTTTAAATTTAAAAAATAGTTTGACCCTTTTCAAAATTTAAATGAAAACCTTATAAATCAATTATTAAAGAATATTGGCTTCTTTTTTTTTTGCATTTTTAACACATCTAAAATGATAATTAATTCTGGCTTCAACACATTAATGACCAAAATTGATTTCAACAAATATTTGGTCAGGTTAAGGCTCCATTTTATGGTTTCTTGGCCCGAAGAACCTTTCTTACACCAATATTTTTCAATGACTTCAAATGAATGAAATATTTTTTGGACTTTAGTTACACGAACTTGGAACTACTTTTGATTTCCCATTCAAAACTAGTATAACCTGTTA